CGGGGGGGTGGGGCTTTGCCCAGCTTCTGTTGGTACAACAGTTGTGGCCCTACTTGGACCCAGATGCCCTAGCAACAGTAACTCACATCTTTATCATCACTCAGCTGGACTACTACAACATGCTGTGTGTGGGGCTGCCATTGGAGACAACCCAGAAGCTACAGCTGGTACAAAATGCAGCAGCTAAAGTGATAACACATATTTTAAGTCACTGTTTTGGTTATCAGTTGGTTTCCAAGCCCATTCAAACTGTTGAATGTTGCCTTTAAAGCCTGACACAGCACAGTATCCGGTTAACTCGGGCAATTCCTTGCTAGAACAGAATTTGCCTACCTGGTTTGATCATTACAAGAGGATCTGAGAGTTCCTCCACTTTTTGAGGTAGATGGATGTGGACAAGGCAGCAGACCTCTTCAACAGTAGCTCCCATTTTATGGAATTCTCTCCCCAGGAGGGACACACACCTCTGACTCTCCTGGCTTTTCGAAACCACTTTCATTTCATCAAGGTGAATGGGGGTGCCATGACATTTTTGTTTTTCAATTCAAATGTTATTGTTATTAGTTGTTTGGCCTGTTGTTTTTTTATTGCTTGCAACCCAGAGTCCACTGGGAGCAAGGTGGCCTAGAAATGTAAAATAACTGAAGATAAATATTCCAATTTATTTGAATTTTTTTTAAAAAATGAATGGGAAGCGGTTTTGCTATTAGACAAAATACCAGCCTTTGTCATCATCTTTATTTTTAAAAGTATCTCTGAGCCCAACATAGGCTCCATAGGCATTTATTTAAAAATAAAATTAATAGGCAATTCCAGCCTTGGACTTTGTTTTAAAGTCTGTTCAGGAAAAAGACAAACATAATCTAAAACATTAAAAAGTATCCTGGAGATACAGGAAGAAGAGAACTTTTGTTGTAGTATCAGAGAAGGTGTTAAGTTACTGAAATTGTTTTTAGTTGTCATGATGAAGGGGGAAGTTATTTCTTTATATATCCTTTTTCTTTTTTCTTTACTATATAATTCTTTTCTTTGCACTTTT